GATGCTAACGCTGCATATGATGCTAACGCTGCTTATGATGCTAACGCTGCATATGATGCTAACGCTGCTTATGATGCTAACGCTGCATATGATGCTAACGCTGCTTATGATGCTAACGCTGCATATGATGCTAACACTGCTTATGATGCTAACGCTTCCCTTCAAGACATTAAATTTGAGGCGCCCGGTGTCCAAAATGCACTTCAAACTTCCGGATCACAGATGCCATTCATATTTTCAGTGAACACAATGTGGATTTTAAATACCAGCGTCAGCGCTAACTGCTGCTAACCGCTAACCCCTGCTAACTGCTGAAAATGGTATTTAAAATTGAAATTCAAATGTGTTAATTGGAAACCATGTGGATGGTTCCTGTGGTCTGGAAGTCTGAAGTGCAGCGTGGGCTCAACCGCAAGTTTGATAGAGAAACATTTGCAGCGTTCAAATATTAGCATCATTAGCAGCATTAGTGCTTTCTTTTGTCTCCGAATGATGACGTCATATCAAGAGCACCAACAAAGCTTGCGTTGTATTCGGAAATACTTTAATGCAAACTGTAACATTTTCATTTATACCTTTAGATTTAATATTTACATACATTATTTAACATTTAGTTTAAAAATGCAAAATGTGAGAACAGTGAGCTAAAAAACAATAAAATGTAAGTGGTAATTTTTAACTAGGATTCAGAAGGATCTCAGAAAGTGAGCTAGATACTGATGACTTTTTAAAAACATTTTATTTTACTCTTGGCACCCCATGCCAGTGGAGGGATTTGAATGAACCTCTCAGAAATCCATCTTTGGATCTACAGCTTTTAAAGCAGAGGTTCTCAAACTGGTGTCCCAGGACCCCCAGGGGTCCACAAGCCATATGTTGGGGGTCCTCAAAAATTTTCAATAAATTGTTAATTTGGAATTTATTTTAAAAAAATGAATATGGGAACAATGCACCAGTAAAACAAACATACTGAACCAAACAAAAAATATTATTCCCATAGTATTTAGGTGTTAAAACGTCAGTAAATTATTTCTGAAACAGCATAAGGTTTATGAAGGGGTCCCTAGAAAAAGTTTGAGAACCCCTGTTCAAACTTGGAGTGTCAATAGCTGAGAATCATCCTCAACACACACTCTGAACTTTGTGCCCCGGGCGGCCATGTTGAATTAAAATTCTGGCATGAATTGTGGTAAATAATTATGCACTTTTAATTAAAAGTGGTTATCAGGATTTTCCTRACCACTATTTAGTTTTAACATTTGAATGTTGATTTAAAAAAACCCACTGGTTATTAAAATATATATTTTAAAATCTTAATTAATTAACCTCCGTCATGGAAAAAGCAGATAAACACATTTCTAGCTCAGGAATGATATCTCCTCATCTGAGTTTCATCCCACCAACAGCCTGCAGACAAAACAACAAGCTAAAAAAGAGAAGAAATGAGGCCCTGAAGGTTTGTCATGTGAGGATGGATTGCCTCAGAAGGTCAACATTCCCATTATTCTTCACCGCAGCAACATTATGCTGCAGCTCAGCTCGCTCTCTCTCGGCTAACAAATACAGTTGTTTATTCCACATCAAAACTGAATTAACTCAGAGCTGAAAACACACCTTTTGTCTTTACACACATCTGGGCCTGAAAGGTGCTTTCTGGAAAAAAAAAAAGGAAGAAAAAAAGGTTGGCAGGACTCAACCAGCTGTAAAAAGCGACACAGGGGTGTGTAATGCTGATGATTTACAAAGGTCACAGTTTCAGTAGCTTTCCAGCCATGTTGGTTCATGCAGTTCACTTATAACAGGGAGGGGGAAAAAGGGGGAGGGAGGCCAACATAAATATAAACTTCTCTTTCTCATMGGAGATCAAAACCCTGGGAGCAGGCTTCTGATGATTTATGTTTTTTTGTTTTTTACGTTTTGTTCTCTTGTGCAGATCAAACAGAGAATGCCAAATCGACCAGCACCACAGGAACCAGTGCCAATACTGTCGTCTGAAGAAGTGTTTCCGGGTCGGGATGCGCAAAGAAGGTAGCAGGAAAACTGCTCAGCTGTGTTTTCGTGTCATGAATCAAGTATAAGCCAGCCGATTGTGTAACTGAAATAACATGACTGAGAGAAATCAAGCTACAAATTTAGATTGTGTTATAACACACAGAAAGTTGAGGCAGAATTTTATGAAGACTTGACTAAACAGGGCTGGACATTTGGACCAGGACTGAAGTGGGGGTGCTAAAATTATTATTTTTTTACTTGTAATATTCAATTGCTCAAAAATACTGAAACAAAATATTTTAACATGTCTGTCAAATTCGATCAACAAACTAAGAACCTTGTGTTTCTTATTTTAGAATTATTGATAAAAATATATCCTTTAGGAAAAGTTTTTAATAGTTTAAATATAAATGCAGCTGTTTTATGTCATTTTAAACAGTTATTTCTTTAAATACGATTGTGGTTATACTAATACTTTAACTTGGTACTCCTTAAAGGAATGCATGTCAGTTTTGTGCCAAAGTTTAAGACAGAAATCTTGCTCTTTCTGTTAGAGCTCAGAGTATCTGCTAGGGATGACTCTCAGCTACCACACCAAATTTTATTATCTGTAACATTGATTAGCTGCCATCTTGATTCAAGTTGACTCCAAACGTAAATCAGTTGTAGATGTACACCCAAAAATATTTTGACGGTTTCATTAAAATCCTTTGTGTGCACTAGTTTAATAACTCTTTTTTCACTAGCCTAAGGTTTTAATTTAACAGTAATAAATATAAATTCAGAAAAATCGTAATACAAACACATAAATGTCAGAGTTATTGTTTTGTCAGAGAACATTCCAAATCATGAATTAAAAAATCCCTGAGTCACGTCACTGATCCAAGAACAATATTTTTACTGTCAACCAGAGGCTGTTTTCCCTCTGCAGCAACACTTCCTCATAACGAGAAAAACAAGAAAGTTAAAGGTTTCACTGCGTTTAAACATTCACTGCAACGCATCATATTTAACCTAACGAGTCTGTCGAGTTAACTGCATTCATGTTTTTATGGATTATTTGACAATAATTTAAATTAAAAAAACATTTTAAACTAGTGTCAGGTTACAGTTGGTTTACGAAACCCCAGCTGGACTGGTGTTCTGGTGCAATCCAAGCCCACTTGTATTTCTGCTGGAGTCAGACGGACATCAGGTGCTGGGCCATACATAGAGATGGCAGCATGCCAGGGGCTGCCGTGGGCCCGGATACTATTAAACTATGTTGAGTGTAAACCATGACGCAAGTTCAACTGTTTCCACACTACCTGGAAGTGTGCGTTTCACCTCTAACCCAGTCAGGAGAGCTGAACTACACGCAGGGCGGCTTAACCCGAGGAGGCCTTAACTTCATGTCACTGGAAGATTTTTAATCCTATTAGGACGTCTCGCTGCTGATTCACGTGATTATAGCATTTTGGCATTTGCTTAGAGCAGGGTACTCAGACCTTTAGAGCATAATTTATTTTAAAGATCAAAAAGAAAAAAATTGTGTAGACTTCTGGACGGGTTCTTCTCTAATGAAACGTTTCGTCTCTCCTCCAAGAGACTTCTTCAGTCTGAGAGTTTCAGGCAAAATTCAGGCTTTTGAGCCCAGCCTCCATGTGACTGATACTCACATYACATGGCWATCRTTGACACCTAATTAACACCTATTGTTAACAGGGGGTGGAGTGATACTGGCAATRGCCGCGCTGTAGGAGGGGGACAACTGAAAACGGAGGCCTCCACCTCTGTTTAATGATGGACGGTCTTTCTTYACAAAAATGGCTTCTTTTACTCCTCTCTCAAACCAACGTTCCTCTCTATCAAGAAAGAGAACATCCTCATCTCTGAAAGAGTGACCGCTGGCCTGTAAATGAGTGAAAACTGCAGAGTTCTGGCCATTAGATGTAGCTCGTCTGTGTTGGGACATTCTTTTGAACAGTGGCTGCTTTGTTTCCCCGATGTATAACTGGTCGCAGTCCTCCTGGCACTTAACAGCATATACAATATTGCTCTGTTTGTGCCGGGGCACGGGATCTTTGGGGTGAACCAGCCTTTGCCGTAATGTGTTTTGGGGTTTGAAAGCYACTGGGACATCATGTTTAGAAAATAAACGTCTCAGTTTCTCCGAAACACCCGCAACATACGGAATAACCACTGGTTTGGGTCTGGGTTTGGGGTCTTCATTTTCACCTGAAGGTTGCATGGAATCCTGTCTGTGTTTCCTGTCTGCTTTCAGGAAAGCCCAGTCAGGATAACCACACTGCTCCAGGGCCTGTCGTGTGTGTGATTTCTCTTTCTCCCTGGCTCCTGGGTTTGTAGGGACACTGTCTGCTCTGTGGTACAGAGTCCTGATCACTCCTAACTTGTGTTCCAGTGGGTGGTGGGAGTCAAAACAACGCAAATATTGGTCTGTGTGGGTGGGCTTACGACATACGCCAGTTTCCAACCGTCCTCCATCCGAAACTGAGACATCGCAATCCAGGAACGCTAACCTGCCATTTTTTTACATCCTCTCGTGTGAACTTAATATATTCATCCCGAGTTGATGTGATCAGTGAAATGTTGGACTTCCTGGGCTTTAATTTTAACCCAGGTGTCGTCAACATATCTGAACCAATGGCGGATTTTAAAGATCAGTTTCTCAGGAGCAGAAATGATTTTATGTGGTTTTGTACTAAAAAGAAACACCAAAACTGGCTTATCACTTGTCACTCAAAGTGTTTGTTAATCATAGTTTTAGCAAAATATTTCATAGCCCAGGAAATAGATTTTAACGCAATATCTGTGCATCAAAAACTGATTAACTTCTGGTGTCAAACCAGTTTAAAATGGCCGCCACATCTATTCAGAATAAAACAACATGATACAGGAAGCTGTCATTTTATAGAGAGTAAAATAACAGATCACATTATTTTAATTAAATACATTAAGAATAAAAAAGTTCAAGTATTCAAATTCTAATTAGGTGCTTTGGGAGAACAAAGTTGATAAACCCACACTCCGTAACAGTAGGTGGCAGTATTGCACACCATGTTTGTCAAATGCAAATAAATCCTGTGAAGAAGAAGGAGATACCTGACCTGAGTCAGGTGAACAGGTGAGAGTGGGCGTGGCCGGACTGAGGGTCAGAACCTGAGAGAGGCACCTCGCTGCAGCAAAACGTGACTGAAAACAAAATGAACAACAGTAGTAAGTTAACTTAAAACTAGATACACTGCATTTCCTGCACAAATGCAAAATGTTAAATAGCAAAACTTTTAATGTGAGTTAAATTTAAATTGCTGATTTTTTCTGAAAGTAGGAAAACAAAAGTGAAAAATTAATAGAATAGCAAAAATGTGTCAAAGCTGAACAGAGCAGAAATGCAGCTAAAATTAGCAGAAAATAGTAAATATTTACAAAAAGTAGCTTAAAAAGCAGAAAAAAGTGGAATCTACCAGACAGAAGTTGCAAGAAGCAAGAAAAGGTGAATTTGCAAATAATAATAATAATAATAATAATAATAA